TGGCATGGTTTTATTATCTAAAACCAAGAGCAGCCCTGCAGCTAAACTTATTGGCTAATTATAGTGAGAGGGAGCTGCTTAGCATCTATTATATTAAAACATACATTATTATATTTGGCAGTCATTCTTCAAGAATTCATCTACTTAGGGGTACACCTTATCCTGGAGGACCCACTAGTATGCAGTCTTATTAAAAATAAACCATTCTACAGGGCCATATGATGTTCATTTATGATCCAAGCAACTGATTTGTAACACCTGCCCTTCAATTTTTTCAAGCTTAAACTGTCCCTTGTATGTTTTATGGCAAAGAGCTCTGGGATTTGAATCAGCACTTTTCTAAATTCATTAGTAGATTAAAACTTAAGTTATTTCTCAAGAGAAAATGTAGTCCTGTCCATTAAGAGTGACATCCTTACTTTGTTTTCCCTTTGATGTACAGTAAGGTAGGTAGGGAGGAGGAAGACCTATGCTTTATTTTAGTGTAGGGAACTATTTCCTCCTGTGCAGTTGGGCAATGGTCTCTAACAGTCTTTGAGAGTTACCTGGGGACCTACAGGATTAAATAACTTACCCATGGTCACAGAATTAGTTTTTCCAGAGGGAAGACTTGAACCTAAGTCTTTCTGACTCTACTCTATCCATTATGCTGCATTGCCAGTCCCTACAGGTCATACCATGAGAAAAGGAGGTATTAATCTGTCTGAGTGAGAAACATAGAGTACTAAGTGTTTCTTATAGAATGTTGGCTCTGTCTCTTGGAAATCTCTAAAGCACATACCATAAATAATCAGCACTTTAGACGCTTACCAAGTAACTCAACGATGAATTGGCTGAGGTCTAGGACTTGCCATAAGCTTGCTTGAGACAGCTGACATTTGAAAAACATTTTCAAATATATGTCTTAACCGTCTCTTCCCCCAGGTTGTCTAAGATCTCTATCTACTTTAAGTTAGGACATCAGAAAGGTAGCTTCCATAAAAAAAAAAAAGAATCTCTCACTCAGATTTAATGTATGCCTTCAGCTTTTATACAGTCTTGATATAAGAAATGTCCATTTGGAGAATGTCTGTATCTTTTATAAAATTATAGATGAAGGCAATGTCCATTATGGTGCTTCATAACTCTTACTGAAAGACCCATGGGATTAATTTCTCCTGAAATTTAGTGTCAGGAAAATATTCATCACTTCAGATGAACTTGAGCACTACCTTTTATTAGACAGTGAGAACTTTATAACCCAATATTATATTAGCCTCTAGGATGATCAGAGCTAAATTCAGTGCTCAGCTGCAGTAACTAACTCATCTTTAGGTGCTTCATCCATTAATTTCTCTTCTCCTTTCAATCTCCTCCCCCTACACACTTCTTGGTTGTTTTTGTTTCTAATTATCCTGCATTTATGTGTCTTAATTTTGTAATGCGTCTTTTTTTAAGTGGAAATTTTAATATTTTTTCTAATTATATGTATTAACAATTTTTAACATTCATTTTTGGTAGTGTATCTTAACTGCTTTTTGGAAGCATGTGATATATAAATAAGTTAAAATACATTTATAAATAAAATGACTAACTAAAAAAGCATTTTGCTTAATTACATATTCTGGTTTGGGAGTTCTGGTCCTCGTTGGCCTTTGCATTGCTTCACTCTATGCAGCAAATCATATACTCTGAAGAACTACCTTAGTTTTCTGATATAAAAATAGGCTCCAACAATCAATGAAGAATATTTTGGCCATAGGCTAAGGCATGTCATTACTGGTGGAGGAACCCATGTTACTGAAGGGCAGGATACCAAAGAACAGAGGGAAGGAAAGACAGGAAATGAATTTCACATCCAACCTAGGGGTAGTCATAGGGCAAAGAGTGTTTCTCTCTGTCTGTCTCTAGTTGCATCCATTTAATTTCATTATCATCATTATTCTTGCTTTTAATATACTTGATCAGGTGTCTTGAAAATGGTCATTTCATAGGGTCAATACAAGATTTACATGAATTTGATTGTCCCTCTCTCTTTCAAACTGTTTCCTTTAGACCAAATCATCATCATGACTGGTAGAATTTAAGGATTGTTTTATACAGGTTTTGGATCCTAAAGAAACATGCAGTTTTTCTATTTTTGGCACATTTACCTTGAATTAGTAACTTTCTGAAGTTCAGGATTTTATAGTAGTTCTCATACACATATACACATTTTCCTTCTCTTGATTTAATTTAGAAGTTTCAAGGAACAATTTGTGTACCAATTTATTTGTGACTTTTGTGGTTTGAGTACTTTTTAGAGACAATTTATTATAACTTGCAACGTATGAGAGTTTTCATTTCAATGTTTTGAAGTAGCTATAATAAGAAATGAGTGGAAGGTTTGGATATTTACATTTTCTAAGAGTTGGGTGCAGTCAGACTCCAGAGATCAGAGTATGCTGATAAGATTCACTGTGCATACCCTTTCCCCTACTCTCCTTTTCAAAGCATGCCTGTTCATTTGATCATTTGATTTCTGTAGGGAATGCAAACTTTCCACCTTCAATATTGTGTCTGGTTTTTGAACTCTTTCATAAAATGATATTGTAAATATGATATATGTAACAATGCCCATACTAAGTGAACATTGAATTCTGAAACCATTTCATTCCATATGCTTTAGTAGATTTTTCCTTCACTTTCCCTCGAAAAAAAGAGGGATAATAAATTGTGTAAATGTGCTGCTGAGTATAGAACCCATCAGTCCTTTTTAGCTTGCATTTTAAAATGGTATTGTGTGCTTTTTCTAAAATGGAAAAAAAAAGCCAAAACACTTATTTCTAATTGCAGTGTTATTTTATGTCTGAAAAACTTCACATTTTTCTGATATAATCTTTTCCTATCCAAGAAATTGTTTGTGTACTTCTTCCTACTTGGTTCTGCCTTTTCTCTTAACCCCAACAACTGTAAACTTCTTTTCCTATCTGTAAAATTCCAATTTCTTAGCTCAGTGGTCTCCATTTTTTTTTATTATGTACCCTTATAAATTAAAAAAAAAACTGTGAGTAGATTTACTTATTTATGTGTATATGTATATATACATATATATATATTATATATACCAATAATTAAGTGTATAATATAATTTCAACATAAATATAAATTTAAAAGAGATAAAGATGAATTGATTCTAGAGGCAATAGGGAGTTTATTGAGCAAAGGAGTGATGTGGTCTACCTTGCATATTATGGAATCACTTTGACAAAAGTATGAATAGATTGGAGTGGGAGACAGGAGACAGGGAAACAATCTAGGAGCCTATTGCAAGTTAAGGCCATAAGTAATGAGTGCCTGAATTTTGGTGGTAGCTGTGTGTGTCGTGTAGAGAATAGAATAGATGCAAACAGATGTGAAGATTGACTGACAGAATTTGTCGACTGATTGGATGAGGGAAAGAAAGGAGTTGAAAAAAGGCACCAACGGTATGAAAGTCTAAGTGATCAGAAGAATGGTAGAACCCTAGACAGTAATAGGGAAGTTTGGAAGAATGGTGTTTTATGGGGAATGTTAGTGTTTTAATATCTAGGTTGCAGATTACAATCAATGCATGTACACCTGCTCATCCTGTGTATCTCACTCTGTCCCACTCAAAATGAAAAAAAAAAAGACAGGCAGGGTTCTTACTTAAATTCACTGTTTTTAGCACATAGCCCACCCACTTAATGGTAACTGTCACAGCTACAAGGTACTTAAGGACAGAGGGTGGTTGTGAAATTTTCCCAGTGGCACTTGAACCTTAAAGCCCTTAGGGGGCCCATCCTCAGTTCAGAAGAAAGACTTGCACAGCAAAGCGTGGAGGCCAACTGGGGACAGTCAGGGAATCAGGGTAGGTGTGGTTATATTGAAACAATCCTCATGACATAGATCAGGGAATTTGGAATGTGACCCACCTTCCTCCCTCCAATTCCTTGATTACACACCCCTTCTGATCAGTCTTTAGTTCCTCTGGGTAAGGCCACAACCTACAAAGGGACAGAGGTCCCTACTTGGGAGACTATTGGTCCAGCTGTTTGACATCTCTGTCCTGTGACTTCAAAGATAGGAAATGAATCTGACTCGCCTGAGACTTTCCTACACTTCCTTAAAAAATGCCTGGGCTATCCTGATCATGGAGCAGCCCTTACCAATAGAAAAAGATGTGTTTAGGAGAGTCTCAGTGGGAACCTGATAAAGCTATGCCCCAAGATTCTTGTGAGACCATCTTGGATTTCTCCTTTTTGGCATGGCCTAAAGGAATGGCATGGAATGCCAGAAGGATTTCTAATGATGCCCCTGGTTGTATTCTTTGCTTGCCTTTTCCCTTTGAAAGTGTCTCTTTGATGGACTGCTCTGATTACAAGGTATTAGACCTAGTAGGCTTGTATATGAGAGTGTGTGTGTGTGTGTGTGTGTGTGTGTATCTGTGGGCTGCCCTTTTATGCTTCAGTTATTTTCCTGTCCTTTCTGTCTTTACTAAGGTAGCTCCAGTTAAGCCCTATAACACCTCCATTAGTCCCTCCTACCCCAATCCCCGACCCCACCAATTGAAAGGAATTATTGCATTCAGCAGTGCCTAGCCCAAGTAATTCTTCTGCCAAGCCCCCTTAGGTCCCAATAACCTACCCACAGTGACCAAATCCTAACTATCATGCAAGTTGATTTTACTTCCATTGAATCATTAAATCAAAGAATAACTTTAACAGCTAATTCTCAACTTCTTACAAGTGATTGCTCCCTTCCAGTGCTAAGTCCCAGACTGCTCCCTGCATCCAGGTATCAGCTTCATCTTTCTCAGCAAAGTCCTCGACTGAGTTTGACAGACAGCAGGAGAAAAATAAAAGTGATCAACGATCCTACATAGTTTCCTTTTTCCAAGTGTTGCTGGTGCTTTGGGTCAGTGAAGCCTGCATTTTCCCCTTCAGTGCCGATTCTTCACAAGCTGATAATTGCTGCTCCCAGCACAAGGAACTCCTAACTCTTTGTTTTGTTCCTTCCAGGTATATTCACTTCAACCAAATAGAAACATTTCAGCCAGAAACCTTTGGAGACCTTCAGAAATTGGAGCGACTGTGAGTAGTGTCTTCTCTGGCACCTTGTTTTCTTTTCCTTTATTTAACCTGCCTTGATGATCTAGAGCCTCTGGCTGACCTTTTGACCCAGCACAGAGTATACTCGAGGAAGTCTAAGAGACACAGATTTCACTTATTGTTTAGGGTGAGAGAAACGAAGGATTGTAATCAGGCAACTTATACTTGAAAAATCAGAGGACCTTTGGGGACTCATTCCTTTCTGATTAGTCAAGAACTTCTTTCTCTTGTTCTTCCCTGAGAGGAGAATGCCCCTTATTTTAATTTCACTTTTTAAGAGATGCTTAGAGATTTGAGATGAACTAAGGCTGATTGTAACATTCATATCATATGTAGCCTCTTAGCTAAATATTTTGCTTTAAGGGAAAAAATATTTAGCTAAGAGACTACATATTTTTTCCCTTAAAGCAAAAGTTGAGCCATATAGGTAGAAAACAAACCATTTACTTCAGACAGCTGACTTCTGAAGGATTTTATGTGAGAATGAATTTCTGCATTTGGAACCCAAATAGCTTTCAACAAGGGCACATGGATGTTATTTTACCTACAACAGTCTATTGATGTGAAAAATGGGCTCACGTTAACAATTGCTTTCCCCTTTTGGTATGTAGTTTACCCTAGCATGAAGTATCTGGCTATCATATACATATGAAAGTGTGGTAGTCTTGATTATTTGTGTGTTTTTCTATCTATCTATCTATCTTTCTATCTATCTATCTATCTATAGTAAATGTTTATATATGTATTGTTATCCCTTCCATATCGTGGGAGGGGTTAGCAGCGCTTTGCCTCTGCGATCTGGAAAATCTGAATAAAATTTTTTGGTCTTCCCTTTACCAGTCTGAAATTTTTTTCTTTTTCTTTTATGGAGTATATTGTAAAATTTGGGTTAAGTATTTGGTCTAAGGTTCTATGTCATCTGCTGGTCTTTGTGTGTTGTCTGTGGTTTCTGCAACATTCCCCCAAAATTCCTATTTAATTTCTTATATCAACCCGAGATATATGGAAACCACAATTGGGAAAGTAGTGATGTGGAAGGAATAACTTGGGTCTTCCTAACTCTAGGTCCAGAATTCTATCTGCTGTGTCGTGTAGCATCTGCTTAATGTAGGTGATCACCTCTCTTGTTCAGTACACTATGCTTGTTTTAACGTAGCTCAGATCACATTAGTTTTGTGGGCTGCCCTATTCCATTTTGTACTCACATGGAACTTGTACTCCACTAATAAGCCCTGCAGAGATTTTCAGAAAAACTACAACCTAGCCATTTCATGTTCATATACTTGCAAAATTAATGTTTTGAATCTAAATGTGAAAATAGGCATTTATCCCTGTTGACTTTTATCTTATTTAATTAGGAGGGTAGAGTTAAAGAAAAACAAAACAAAACTCCCAAAGACTCTTTTTATAGAGGGCTCAGAATTAGAATCAATACTTTATTTTCCATCAGCTGTTCTGCTTGGTTTCAACTCTTTCAACTCCACCATCATTACACCCCAGCCTCAGGTACCCTCTAGTGCCCTCAGTTTTGTGTATTGTCTTTCCCCATTAGACGATAAATTCTTTTAGTGCAGGGTCTTGCAAAACCTTATTTGTATCCCCAGAGTTTAACACAGTTCTTGGCACATAGCAAGTTTTAAGTAAATGTGTATTGCATTTCTTTGCATTGCGTTCATTGTATTGTATCATATTGAATTGCATTGTAGACAAATGCTCAATCTGTCAATATCCTTGTGGACCCCAACTCTTGTCTTCCAGTATATTAGCTATAGTTCCCACCTTTCACCTGCAAATTTGATAAGTAGGCCACTTATGTCTTCATTCAAATTATTGATTATATCTGTTAATCAGCACATGGCTAATCCCAGATTCTTTGGGGTACTTTACTGGAGCCCTTCTTATAAGATAACATCAAATCATCTATGACTATGTGTCTTTTCATTTCCAAATCTACTATACTCTACTGGCATCTAAGCCACATTTCTACATCTTTATATAGGAATACAATTAATAACATTGACAAGTATATCCCTAAAATCTAGAACAAACTATATCCATAACATGCCCCTGATCATCCAGTTTCACAACTGTCAAAAAAATGAAATGAAGTTAATCTGTATGACCTTGTTCTTGATAAAGTTTTGCAAGATCTTTGTGATTGCCACTTCAATTTCTCCATGTTCTTCCAGAAAGACCAGTACTGCATTCATTATACCAGGTTCTAAAGAGTCAAAACTGAGAAAGACCCCAAAAGACAATGGAAAGATACTGGGTGGGTGTAAGAAGGTTTCACCTTCTTATAAACAGTGATATACATAGTAGGAGCAGGTATAAATTATGTCACCAATGAAGGCTAGGTTCATAAAAAAAGATGGACTAGGTTGTTTTCTGTACCTAGAATATCCTCCTTCTACTTTTTATCCTGTTGAATCTCCACACATCCCTTACTCCACTCTCCCTAATCCTTTAATAACATCCCACCTCTCTTTTGCAATGGATGACTTTCCCTATGACTTTACTGAGAAGATTTTTCATGCATTCTCTTTTGCTTCCATCCAATCTAAACCAATGAAATGACCTTTTTCCTTGCCAAGATTAATTCTTCCATTTGTATTCTTGAGCTCATTCTATCTCATTCTTTTTGGGAATTCTTCCAGTGAATCATTTCCTAAATTTTACCTGTCCTCAATATTTCCCTGTCTGTTGGTTCCTTCCCTGCTGCCTACAACCATGATCAAATAATCTATCCTTTAAAAAATCCCTTTTACCTTTCCATCTATTCAATCTATCATTCTATATTTCTCTTCCCTTTCATGTCTTAACTCCTAAAAAATATAATCTGCACTCACTGCCTCTACTTTCTTGTGGGTTCTTCATAATCTCACTTGGGAAGTTGGCTCATTGTAATTTTAGTGTTAATTTTTATGGCCATAGATATGGTCTTGCACAGTCGTAGAACTTTGTAGTACCTTTCTCACCTGTCTCTTTAGTTGTATACCATCTCAAGGTATAAAGAAGCTTTCTCTATCATTTTTCCTAACTCAAGTTTTGTTGTTGTTTATCCTTCATTCTCAAAGAGGACCGTGACATCAGGGAGGTGATGCCATGACTTTCAGGTGAATCGGATTTAAATAAGAGAGGGCTGTGCCTCATTTTCTTCTTTAGGGCCTGATATAGTTTGGGACTATTGGAGGTGGCCCTAAATACAGTAGTGGACCTTGCTTGTCCTTTTTAAGCTAAGGTCTTTAACAGATCTCGGTTTGATTGAGTGCCCATTCAGTGATTAATGCTAGAGTCATTAGCTTCCACTTGCCCAATTCCAACTTTTAAGGTGTTGTTTTCCTTGATTAGCTTTTGTACTTTCTTTTCCATTTGGCCAATTGTATTCTTTAGAGAGTTATTTTCTTCAGTGGATTTTTGTATTTTTTTTTTTACATTTAGCTCAGGTAAGATTGTCGTTGACCTATCCATCAGACTTTCTGGGACCTTGTTTTTATCTTTTAAACCCACATCGAGTCTCAGTGACCATATATTTAATCCTAGTCTGCTAGTATGACCTGGTTGTCTGACTATTCTAATTAGTCTGCCTTGATTTTTGTTTCCCCTGCCAAAGCAGTTCAGGAAGAAGGGCCTGGACCTTTGTCTCTTGACATTTTGGAAAATACTTTACTGTCAAATAATTCCAGTTCAGAATAATCCTTCTTCTTAACCTCATGTATTTCTTTACAATAAAGAGGAAAAAGGTACTGACATTATGAACAATGAGGAATTATGATACATGTGTGTACACATATTTATATACATGTATCTTAACATATACTATATTTTATTTGTATGTGATTGTATAATATTTATGTGCACACGTGATATAATCTATACATGTATAAATATGCATATATTTATCTTAGAATGCTAACTCAAAGCAGCTCAGAATTTGAAGGGAACTGAGATATATCATGGAAATTGTAAAATTGCTTTATGATATGATTTCTGCTATTTTTGGTAGACTAAAGGCAAATCATTCCTTTGTTTGACATGTCTATTAAAATAAACAGCTGTTTGCCATGTTCATTGTTTCTTTCTTTGAGAGTCAATACTCTCATATGCACATATGCAATATTTTCTGAGTATTTAATTTAAATGTCTCCAATTGATTTGACAAGGTAACTAATAATTCTTAGATATTTCTATTATGCTGAAGATAATATACATTAAACAGTCAACATACCAAAAAATTCTGCATCTACTAATACTAAACCAGCAGAGACTATTATACCCTGAACTTAAAACTTTATTCTGTGGCAAAGTAGCATAGGGTTTTTAATAACTACAAATAGTTAGAATCAGTTGTGCCACAGCCAGTGAGTTCAATAACCCTGCTGAGAGTGCTCAATCAACTGAAAATAAAATGGGAGGCTTCTTAAAAGATCATTACCTACTAGCCCAACAGGATTCCCTAATGACTCCAAAGCTGTAAACCTCTAACATCTCATTAGTTTTCAATTGTTGCATGTTGTTTAGCAAAAGCATTGTCTGTTTCCCATGATGTCCTGTTGGGATATGGTCAAAATCTCATTTTTATGGATCACTGCTTACCAGGAAGTGTCTTTCACTAAGTAAAAGACAATAAAACTCAGAGTGATGAGACCGTAATCCAAATATTTGGACAGATATTGAAACAGAAAGTGGGATCCTGAATTTGGCTGTTTAATAGTCTATACTAACATGGTGGAGGGGAACAACTGACTCTAAAATTCAACTCAATGCCTAATCATAGGATGACAGATTGAAAATTAGAGGTCAACCAAGTTAAACTCCGTTTTACAGATGGAGAAACTGAGGCACAGAGAGGTTAAGTGAATTGCCCAGAATTACACAGCTATTAAGTATGTGAGGTGGCTTTCAATCTCAAGTCTTCTTGACTCCAAGTCCAGCAGTATTATCATCTATACCATACATAGTAGGCCTTGATAAATACTTTTTTTTCTTAGCCAATTGGTATTAAGTGACTTGCCCAGGGTCACACAGCTAATAAGTGTCAAGTGTTTGGTCTGAGGTCAGATTTGAACTCAGGTCCTCCTTACTTTATCTACTGCGCCACCTGCCTGCCCTTTAAATACTTATTTTTTTTAAATATTTTTCTTACATTTTAAATTCCAAACTGTCTCCTTCCCCCCTTCCCCACCCTGCATGACAAGGCCACCATTTGACACAGATACACACACACACACACACACACACACACACACACACACACATCATCTATTGTAAAATCATACTATACGTATTTCTATTTATCAATTCTTTTTCTGGAGGTGGCTAACATATTCCTTCATAGGACCTTTGTAGCTGATTTGAATGTTTATAATACTCAGAATAGCTTATTCATTCACAGTTATCCTTTGAACAATATTGCTGTTACTGTATACAACGTTCTCTTGGTTCTGCTCATTTTATTCTTCATTATTTTATGTAGGCCTCTCTATGTTTTTCTAAAATCAACCTGCTCATCATTTCTTATAGTACAGTAGTATTCCATCACAATCACACAATAACTTGTTTAGCCATTCTCCAGTTGGTACACATCCCCTTAATTTTGAGTTATTTGCCATTACAAAAAAAAAACAGGTATAAATCGATTATTTTCCTTTTTTCTTGATCACTTTGGGAAACTGACCTAATAAGGGTATTGCTGGGTCAGAGAATATGCACACTTTTATAACTCTTTGGGCATAATTCCACATTGTTCTCCAAAATGGTTGAATCAGTTCACAATTCCACCAACAGTGCATTGGTGTATCAGTTTTTCCACACCCCGTCCAACATTTTTAATCTCCCCCCTCTATCATTTTAGCCAATATGATAGGTGTGAAGTAATATCACAAAGTTGTTTTCATTTGCATTTCCCTAACAATAATGATTTAGAGTATTTTTTCATATGACTCTATGTAGATTTGATTTCTTTATTGAAAAACTGCCTTTTCATATCTTTTAACCATTTATCAATGGGGAATGACTCATATTATAAATTTGACAAAATTCTCTATGTATTTGAGATATGAGACCTTTATCTGAGAAACTGTCTATAAATTTTTTCCCCTAATTTTCTACTTTCCTTCTAATCTTGGCTGCATTGGTTTTATTTGTGTGAAGCCTTTTTAATTTAATGTAATCAAAATTATCCGTTTTATATCTTATAATACTATCTCTTTTTTAGTCATAAATTCTTCTCCTTTCTGTAAGTCTGATAGGTAATATGTTCCATGTTCTCCTAATTTACTTATGATATCTCCCTTTATATCTAGGTCATGTGTCCATTTTAATCTTATCTTGGTAAATGGTGGTAGATACTGATTTGTATTCAATTTCTGCCAGACTGCTTTCTGGTTTTCCCAACTTTTTTTTTAAACCAAATAGTGAATTCTTATCCCAAAACTTAAATCTTTACATTTGTCAAACTCAAGGTTACCATAACCATTCACTAATGTGTATTTTATGTCTACTCCATTCCACTCATTCACCTTTCTATTTCTTAGGCAGTACCAGATAGTTTTGATAATTACTGCCATATAATATAGTTTAAGATTTGGTACTGCTAAACCTCTTTCCTTTATTTGTTAAACATTATTTCCTTTGATATTCTTGACATTTTTTTCTTCTAAATGAATTTTGCTATTTTTTTCTAGCTCAGTAGTGTGTGTGTGTGTGTGTGTGTGTGTGTGTGTGTGTGTGTGTGTGTGTGTATCACTTAATTGGGATGCCATTGAATAAGTAGATTAGTTTAGGTAGAATTGCTATTTTTATTATATTGGCTCTGGCCACCCATGAACAATTAATATTTCTTCAATTATTTAAATCTGACTTTATTTGTATAAAAATCATTTTATACTGATGTTCATGTAGTTCCTAGGTTTATCTTGGCAGGTATACTCCAAGGTATTTTATACTGTCTACAGTTATTTTAAATGGGCTGTGTCTTATTATAACTTCTTGATGGATTTTGTTGGTGCTGAAAAGAAATGCTGATGATTTATCCTAATTTATTTAATATCCTGCTTTGTTGTTGAAATTATTAATTTTTCAATTAGTTTTTTAGTTAGATTTCTAAGATTTTCTAAGTATGTCATCATTTTGTCTGAAAAAAAGTGATACTTTTATTACTTCATTGCCCGTTCTGATTTAATTTTAATTAATTTCTTTTTCTTCTATTATTGCTAGCATTTCTGATGCAATATTGAATAATACTGGTGATGATAAATGCTTCTTAAACAGATACTTAACACATATATTTCTGGGGAATAGTTTTATTTTTTAAAAGGTATCATCCTTTGGGGAATAATATCCATTTTAAAACTTTATTATTGTTGCATTTTGATTAAGTATTGTTTTCTGTTTTTCAGATTTTTGCATAACAATAAATTGTCTAAAATCCCAGCTGGGAGCTTTTCTAATTTGGATTCACTGAAGAGACTGTAAGTTTTTAAGATATTTCCTCCTAAATTAAAATTAGAATAAGATGGAATAAAAAGAAGAGATTTTCCTTTACCTTTTTGTGCTTTGAAAGATGATGGCGACTTTGGAGTATTAGGTAGAAAAATGTTTCAAATTATTCTAGTTGTATGGAGGAAAAAGATATTTGAGAGTTTGTCACAGATAGAACTATAATCAATCTGCTCTTTCTCATAAATCTAGCTGAGTTATGTGATTGTTATCATATTAGTTCTTCAATGATTCCTTATTAAATCTAAAGACTTTCTAACCTTTCTTTCTTTAAACTTTTCTTAAAAACAGAACTGCTACAACACTCGAGAGTCCCAAGGGAATTATATGACTAAGTTCAGTTAATTTTCTACTATGGTCCTTATTTCAATCCCCCTTTTCCTCATTATTCCCATGTCTCTCCATTAAATTTTCCTCTTTCAGATCCTCTTCCTTGTGGATCACTGTTTCTCCACATCCTCTCCATTCTCTCTGTTTACCTTTTCTTTTTTTTTATGTGTGTCTTTGTATTTTTCTCTGATACATACAACTCTAAACTTCAGCTGTTAGATTAATAGCAAAGATATGGATTTTCCACTCTGTAGTTCTAGGTAATTGAGAACATTGCAGAAATCAGACAAAAGAACATCTGTTGGTGGCCGTAGGTTACAACTTAAGCCTTGCCAACTATCTGAGTGTGTCCATTGCTGGAAAGAAAGACTTATGGGCAAGAGAGTGTGAAGGCTAAGCAAAAGCCAACAACACTAAAATACTAATGTTTTTGGTGAGTTGGTGCCAGGAGACAATACTGTGAACCTTTTCAAATGTTAGAGATTATAAGTGAAAGAAAGGATCTGCTTCATTCTCACCTCTCTTAATGATTCCTCTTCTCAGATAGCATTTCTTTTTTCTTTTTTTTTTCTTAGCACATTTGATAATTCTCAAGGCAAATGCAACTGATGCAAGCTATCATAATTGTGTTTTTGATACAAGGCACTTTGGGACTATATCCTATGCACAAAAAAATTTAACATGTCTCTCTACCTTTGATCTATTTGTCTAAATCTATGTTTATCAGTGCTTTTAACAAAAGTCAAGATTTTTTTTTTGCTTGCTTGTTTCATCAAAACTGTGAAATACAGAATCCAGTGAAAATGTGAATAGGATTTCTTTTGAAATGTCAATAATGTTCATTCAACCAGTACTCAAACACTTTTTTCTTATGGTGACTTCTGATATTTGCATTATTTTCATCCAACCTGTTCAATTTCTTCAATTATTAGCGGAATATGTTTTCCCTCTCTTTAGAGTTTCATGTTGTCTTTATTTATCTTTCTTGATAATTTCAAGTATTATTCAATTCAGCTCACTTCAATTCAGCAAATATTAGCTAGTCAATAAACATTTATTAGCACTTACTATGTGCCAGTCACTAATTGTAGGTCCTGAGGATATAAAGAAAGGCACCTAGTATGTTAAGTGTATCTCACCAACTAGGTGTTGGAAGGGATACAACTATGGTTGAGACAGTCCCTGTATACCCTTAAGGCTTATATTTTAGGAGAGAGTTTATTATATAATGATATCTCTTAGCTCTGATGATTTAATCTTTTACATATCTTATTGAAAACATAATTTGTTGTCAATATAACTTCTTAGCTTTTCTCCAGAGGTTTTTTTTAACTCCTCACATCTTGCCTTTTCTGTGTCTTAGGACTATTTTTCACTGGTTCAAATGATTAAAACTGTTTTTCATTGTGTGCTACTGGAATGCAAAATACAAATACTAATAAAGTAAGACACCAAGGAGACATGAAACTGGGTCATAGAGCAATCTGACCATGTTTGTTGTAAGCAAAGTCTACTATCATTCCAAAGATTTTGAAGTGTTTTATATAGTCTCATTAATGTCAGTGAGATAGAAAGTGTCTTCTCTATTTTACAGATAGGTCCAATGTAAAAAACTTGCTTTGAACTGTTTTGTCAGTGACAGAATGAGTACTATAGTGTACCTAGTTATTCCTGTCTTCAATCTTTTATACTACTTACAGGCCAGAATATCAAAATTCTGGAAAGTTCTATGATTTTGTCAAAATGGGTAATCTCCAATGTGGAAACTCCCTTGACTGAGTCTAGTTGTACCCTGTCTATGATTTGATAGATAAGTAGGTGCTTGAGTCATAAAAGTTAAGTAATTTCCACAGCTTCACAAAGGCTGTAATAGAGATTTTTCAAGATTGAAACAAAGAGAAAAAAAATCAACCAAATGAATCATAGCTACAGCTGAATATAATTCCATTTTCAAAATTATTTGGAAGCATTTTAGCCATCAAAGCAGTTTGACTTAACGGATGAAACATTAGAATGGGAAAAAGGGAGAGTTTGAGTTCTATTTTTAATGTCACCAGTATGTCCATATATATAACATTTTGTGGGTCACCTGAGATCAGTTTCTCCATCTGTACAATAGGAAATATAATTCTGGATAAGTACTACCTCACACAAGTATTATGAAGACTAATGAAATGACTTTTAGAAAGTGCTTTCAGATTGTTGGGTGAAAGGCACTATGAAAGCATAAATGATTTCTCATTTTATTTTCAGGTATAAAAATTGTATTCTTTATGATTCATTTTTTCCTTCAAAATTATCTTTGAAGCAAAAACTGCCACATAGGTGGGAATGAATAATTGCTTGTGTATTGTTTTCTTAGATTGAAAGTTATCAGAAGGCAGAAGCTGTGCCTGTTCACTTTCTTTCCTATTCTACCTTGCATAACAGCACCTGCAGATTAGAGTTAAGTATATGCAGAGATGCTAGTGATTTCAAAATTAGCACTAGAGGAGTAGCTTAGAGTGGCAGAAAGAATGCTGAGCTTGGAATCCTGCCTCTTACACTGGTTAACTGCATGTTCATGGGCAAGACACTTAACCTCTCTCTGATCTGCAATTGCTTCAGTTGCAAGAAGAGGATGGATGATAGATAATACCTGCTGCTTCTACCTCAAAGAGTCATTGTCAGGATCAAATGAGATAATGCATGTAAAGCACTCTGGAAACCTTCAAGTGTGATAGAAATGTTGGCTATTATGATCAATTTTTGATAAACCTAAGAAATGTTCAGTATAACTTCCTCTTTCTTGTGAACATGTATCTGTTCCTTCTAAGTCATCTCGCATTTCGAACACCAACTTCCATGTTTCAATATCAGGCAAAGTTTGTAAATAATCTCACTGTACAGCAGAGGTATCACATGTGTAGCTCACAACAGTCCTGAAATGCTACCTGAACTAGATGAAAATATCATTGGGAAATATTTAACAAAATCCATAAAACATAGATAAAATTACATTTAAAACTCAGTCAACATTGAGTCTTCAGGGATCTTTATGCACAATTTCATGGCCCCAGTTTCTATTTGAGTATGACACACTGTTGTATAGCATACATTGCCAAATAGTTTTCAATAGAAGTGCTAATCCTGGGTTCCTCTAGCCCACATTTTTTTTACTGTATTTAACTTAAAAATATTCAGCCTTCCTCTTATTCTTCATTTACTCTAGACACTTTGATTGTGGGTCATTGTAATAATAATAATAAAAAAAGACCTGACCTTTTTACTGGATTTTTTAAAATGAAAAAGTAGGATGAAAAGAATACATAGGAGAAAAGAAAGTGTCATATGGCCCATGAAGACCCAGCGGGTGAATGATGTTGTAATTAAGCAAAGTGAGACATTACAGTCTGTTAGAGCTTGGCATTCCTAATGTATCCCAAGGGATCACTAATGCCATCGCTTCTTACATTTAGCTCCCATTCATGTAGATAAGAATCTCACATGGGCATTGAAGCGAGAACTGACTCTTTCATATTTAGCAACTGCAAACTCCTTTTGATGAGACTACCAGACATTGAACTGTGAGTGCTAATCAGATGAATGAACTTTTGGACTTGGGAATGCTGAATTTGCTCTATTTTTCAATCAAGCTGCTGACACAACAAAGTGATCAATGACAAGGAATAATCCAGGACAATCAGAACCCAACAATGTACTTCCTGAGCAAGCAATCTGTGCCTTCTATATCTAAAACACAATTCATTTTCCTCTTTAAAATAATTGTTCATTGACAGAATTTATATTTACATCTCTTTCATCTCTATGTGTATGCTTCCTTCTTACACTTAGCCAAAAAGCTGTTCCTTGGTACCAAAAATAAAAAAATAAAATAAAATAAAGGAGGGGAAAAACTTTGAGCAAAATTGACCAGATATCTACTGAATCTCACTTTATGTACAGTGTTCTACACCCATGGTCCCATGCTCCTGCAAAGAAGGAAAGTTGGCAGATTTTTTATGTAATATCTAGGGTCAGGCTCGAACATTATAATTACACAACATCCAGTTTCTTTTTTATTGTTGTTATTTCTATCTATATTGTAGCAGTAGTATGTGTTTTTTTCTGATTTTATTTACTTTGTATCAGTTCATATAAGCCTTCCTTACCTTCTCTGATTTTTTTATTTTTTGTCATTGCACAGTAATATCTGATTAAATTCATGTACCACAGTGTGTTTAGCTATTCCCAAAGTAAGGACATCTACTTAGCTAAAACACCATTCTGCACAGCACATAAAATCTTCCCATTCCTGCTACACGTAATTTATGAGTGAAAGTTCCATTAAAAAATGGATGCCATAATCTAACTTTTGAATGTAGGGGAGATGATAGTTCTCCCTCTCTAAATTTATATTATTTGGTAGTAGCGCAGATACATATTGTTCCTTAGTGGGATATAATATCAGCTATTCAGAATGAGAGAGCCAGGAGACATGGGTTGTAGTGCCATTTCTGTCATTTTCTGTGTTACCTCAGAAAACTCACTTTTTCATTGGATGATTTTTAAAGCTCTAAAATTCTAAGAGTCTCTGAAATGCTAAGTCTTCTACTTTCACTGGCTGTATGAGATTCTACCATGATAAGAATATTGTGGGAAC